AACTAAGACTTCCGGTCAGGAATATCTGAGTGCTCTGCCCTGCCAGAAGTTCCGTGGGCTAATAGTGTACTCGGAATTATGGCTTATAGTATTTAGTATATCATTGTCCGCTTACAACTTTGGTGGGATTTGTGGAATTTATGTGTGGTTTGTGTTGGGATAAATGTGAAGTTGAAGGTGGGATATATGTCGGTGTATGGCTGGGGTTTATGTGAGGTGTTGGGATAAATGTGAAGTTGAAGGTGGGATATATGTCGGTGTATGACTGGGATTTATGTAAGGTGTTGGGATAAATGTGAAGTTGAAGGTTGGATATATGTCGGTGTATGGCTGGGGTTTATGTGAGGTGTTGGGATATGTGAATGTCCGGTGTATGGACTGGGATTTATGTAAGGTGTTTGGGATTAATGTGAAGTTGATAGGTTGATAGTCTAGATTGTTAGGTAGGTTTTGTTGAGGTATTTCCGAGAGATGTGATTGAGTGTTGGGATTAAAATGTGAAAAGTTGGAGGTGGGATATATGTGGGCTTGATTTAAGTGTTATTATGTGATTATGGGAATTATGGCTTGGGATATATGGCAGATGCGTGGTGGGGGGTCCCTTATATAACCCTTATGTGACCATATAAAAGCATATGAGAGGGGTTGAGTATTGTATGGTAGCTTCTCGAGGTGTTTTAGGCCATTAAATAAAACAAATTACCCCCCTCCCTCCCCTAAACATTCCACAGGGCCTAGACACCCACGTTGTGAAATAGGCCAACAGGAAACAGATTAATTATTTGATGGAGTTTAAAGACTTAGGCCAAGCTAGTAGAGTCACGTGACTTGGTTTTCATGCCGTTAGACCAACATATTTATATAAAACTTTTTTTTAAAATCTCGCGTTCCTTTGTTCCTCTAAACTTAATCACGCGAGGCTGCCCGTTGTACAGTCACGTTTGATCCATTTCAGTCTTCCTGTGTCTATAGCTTTACCTATAACGTGTGTTAAGATACGGAGCAAGAGGCGGAGCTATAGTTATTTCCCTTTGTGTATTTCATTCATTACGGAGAGTTGTTCCGCTTTTAGTATTGTCAAGGGTAAAGATTGCTAGTGTTATGTGGATTTCATATATTTATTTCTTAAGTTAATTCTGTTATGTTTGCCTAGAGGTGAAGTGTATCTTTTAATTCGTGGTTTGTAAGAAATATGTCGTCTAGAGAACGTGCCTTGTAACTTAATATCACAATGTTAAGAATTTGTTGTGCTTGGTAAATTTCTATAGCATTAGTCACATTGCAACATTGGATGGTACTTTGAAGATAGCGGTATTTCAACAGCAATATTTTATAAGTTTCGGATTATAGCTTAGTAGACATGAAATTGATTTGTATTCTTTAAAAGTGGACATAGATATTCGATACGGGATTTAATTGCTAAACAGTGAACACGTAATCGATACTAAGTTGTATTCGTAAATAGCAGTTATGATCGTTGATTTGTCATTATTAACCAGTGACTCGATACTACATTGTATCCGTCGTTATCTGACAAAAATACTGGATCAGTAGCAGCACAGGAAAACTCTCTGATTTTGTTAACAAATCACGAATTCAGTGGTGACACCTGATATCATTAACAAACCAAAGGTGATACCATATTCAACAAACCAAAGTTGACACCAATCAACAAACCAAAGGTGACATCACAGGCAACAAAAAAAGGTGACAGTACAGTCGAAAAATTGAAGGTGACGTTACAGGCAACTAAGGGTGACACAAACTAGTCACCAAAGCAAAGGTGATACCAAACATGAGCTTTACAGATCCAATGTCAGGTGAGTCACTATTCTAGTAATATCACCTCCCCCTCCCTCCCTCCCTCCCTTACTCCCCGCCTTCTATTTTAGTAACTCGCCTTATTGTTAGAAGCTAGCCATACCGTTTTAGTTATTAAGACATCAGTTTTAATCAATGATTAGCCCCTCTTTTTCAAAACTTAAACAAAAACAAACAATTTAATGTTCTCTGTAAAAAAAAACTTATATTTTTTCCTAATCAAATATTCCTAATTAAATTCATGTTTTGTCTGTTGTTGTTGTCATGTAGAAATCAAATCAACGCTGCAGGGAAAATAAAAATAATTGCATTACAAATATCACGGGTTCTCAAACGACGAGAATTACCGGTGTAGGGTGAAAAAGACACCTGGTTATTGAAAGAACAACCAACCGGTGTAGGGTGAAAAAGACACCTGGTTATTGAAAGAACAACCAAAAGTGACAAAATTTTAACGAGAAAAACTAAGTAGGCAAAAAATTTTACAAGAATATCATACAAAATTAAAAATTTTAAGTAGAATATCATCCGAGTGTTGTTTTTTTTAATGTTCCCTAGAAAAAAAAATTAATTAGAAAAACAAAGACTAAATTAAAAAGACTACATTAGAATAGCAGCCAAAGTTTGAAAAAAAAACGTACTTAATCGTTTTATCAAGCAGTATGCACTTTGTTCATAATTGATTGCCCTAGGCTGTAAGGTACTTCACACTATGACGCCAGAACTATCATCTATTTTATCTTTTTTTTCAAACGTTTCTTTGAAACACAGATTTTTTTTTCCTGAAACGTTATCTTTATAAAAATGAAAATAAAATTACAGAAGTTCTTTTAGTTTTCTCTATTGTGTAAAATGGACGTTAACTCTATCAATCATCTCAAATACAGACACGCCCCCGTTTTGAGGGCGTCCCGCAACAATGTTATCAGTGATTTTAAGGGGAAACTACTCTGCCCTGAACCATCGAACTTTCTGCTTGATACAGCGATATTTGTAACCAGTTAACCACACTAATGAAGACACAACGACCTCCCGGTGTGTTTGTAAACAATCTCCCTGAGTAAATTTATTTACCCGGTTTCTCTTAAAACAAGAGAAACGAAAATCTGTCGGTTAACTGTCTGTTAATTTTAATTAGTTCTAATTAGCTGAGTTTTTGGACGGTATTGAACATTAGACTCATTTGTTTTCGTAAATACATTTTTTGCTGTTGTTGTTGCTGGGTTCAAGTTATTTTTTTCTAGTCCTGGTGATCCAACGTGCATCTAGCCTTTCACGAAGCCTGCACAATTATACCTTGTGAGCGATATTTGTCCCTGTCTAGAGTAATAACGCGTTTACACTCGCGACATGTATACCATACATGTCTAGAAAAAAAAACTTCGCTATAGCAGGGGTTCCCAACCCCGTGCCCCGCGGGCGCCATGGCGCCCGCCGAACGATTCGTATGTGCCCGCCTCTCACTATTCGACAGAGACAGAATTTTTTTCATAAACATTATTGAAAGGTTGAAGGGGGTGGAAATCGAAAGTTTGAGGGGGGGGGGGGCGGGGAGGGGGGTGCAAATCTAAAGTTTGAGGGGTGTGTGCAAATCGAAAGTTTGAGGGGAGGGGTGCAAATCGAAAGTTTGAGGGGGGGGGGGTGCACATATCGAAAGTTTGAGGGGGGTGCAAATCGAAAGTTTTGTCCCCGGGTGACGGGAAGGGTCGCTACGCCTCTGGAAGGAGTGTGTCGATTTAAAATAGGTGGTGCCCCCCACCCTACCGATATTTTAGAATGTGCTCTAGAGTGAAAAAAGGTTGGGAACCCCTGCTATAGGGCCTAAGATAATAGGGGAGCCTACTCACTTATTGCGAAGTTTTTTTTCCGGACATGTATAGTATACATGTCGCAAGTGTAAACGCGGTATAACAAGAATACTGCACAAAAGTCTAGACACAATTGTAAAAAAATTAAAATAAAAAAAAAATAATGAGTTAACTGACTTATTTTATAGAAATGCTCCATGTAATAAAATGACTTATTACTTGCAAAGTTGGATCACTATATTATGCGAGTAACAATTTTTAAAGCAAAGCTTACAATTTTTAAGTAATCAGTAATTAAATTATACTATTATAAAGATGATTTCTATAAATAAAATGGAATATTATCATCACTACGTAGAATCTATCTATAAATGACATTTGATATTCCGATACAGCGCGGCTCTAGATATTGCCTTATGATTGTGTCGTGTTCATGTCACCAATTGTCAAGACGGAGACTTGGGCTTTAATTTTTAATCTCGTAATGAGTGACGGGAAAAAATGAAAATCACGAAATATAACGTTAATATCTTAATTCAATAGACTTGTGAAATAAATATCGTTTAATTAAGAATGGCGTCTTAAAAACAGTGTTTCTCCCAGACTTTTTTCTCGGGGGTGGGGGGGGCGGCAGTTGATATTGGGGGGGGGGGGGGCTGTCTACATTTTTCGGGGGGTGGACACTAGTAAAAGTATATGTTTACTATAAATTCCACCTCGTTCGGGGGGGGGGGCGGTAGACTTTCTCCGCCCCCCCCCCCCCCGGAAGTTATGTCTGGAAGAAACTCTGCTTAAAAAGTGATTGTATACATATTAAATATAGTAAAAATGCTAAAGGAAAATAATATTTTTTTATGTTACAATGGTGTTGGAGGTAGTATGGATCAACTTTATAGCAAACTCTTTGATTTAGTCCTAAGAGAAGGTCCTGCAACTTGGATGAGTTGGCGAATAAGGACACAACTCACTAAAAAAACACTACTCCTTTGAAAACAATGTTAAACTTGTGAAATTGTGTTTTTAGTAGGTCTGTGTTAAAAAGTTACGTTGTTTTATTTAATACACTGCAAAAATTAAATCGCCCCCCCCCCCCCCACACACACAAACAGAAAACCTCGTTGCAGGCGCGTGTATTGTAGGCTATATATCTATTTGCCAGAAAAAGTCTGTTATATGACGATGTGGTAAAATAAAAATCTAAAACACAAAGAAAAACATCAAAGAAATGTTAACGAAACAATTCATCACTATTAAGAGAACCAAACGTGTGTTTGGTTTCCTGGCCCGGAGAGTCTGGCCGGTCTGGTTGGTTTGTTTGTGTTGACTGGCAAGTCACACAACAGGTTCAAGCTCCTATTTGCCAGCTGGTCACTATTTATTTTCGGGCCATTTCGGTAGAAAACTGGTCGCATTCTGCAGCCAGATTTTTCAAATGTTGTGAGCCATTTTAGAAATTCTGTGGTCGTTTTTCTCGATAACTTGATGTTCATGTGACGGACGGTAAAGTAAGATGATCTAATATCTACAAGGGCATACATAACATGTTTTCTTTCTAACAAGCTAAAGCATTCTTTTCAATACACCTTCATTTTCACTACTACAGCTTAAAAAATGTATATTTATTTTTTTATCTTCAGTACATTTAAGAAATGTATTTCTAGGATTGTATTTCGTATTATTTCTATTTCATGTTTTACTTATTAATATTTAATGTCGCTGTTTTCTCCAATAAAAAACGTTATTTCTTTACTTCCCATAAAAATTAATGTCTTAGACATGACGTTTATTACTGACGCAAAGAAGTGAAACTTGATATTTCGTGACAGCTAAACAAAAATAGTTATACGGTAAGCATTAGGATTCTTCTAAGAATCGAGATTTGTTTTAGAAAAACGGGTACTAAAATAGCTGTTACAACTATGAAGATATAGTCATTTAACGAGTAGCTTTCAAAAGGCTTTAGTTCACATAAGTTAGTTTTCAGGATATTAACTTTTTTTTTTACCTCCCCATTTTACGGTAGCTAGGGGGAAGAAAGGGGTGGGTGTATATGCGGTATTACTTGCCACATTTTTGACCGAATTCCTCTATCGCGGCGGGTTTAATATGTTTGTCTATTATTGCTTAGGTGTTTTTAAATAGTATCTGTCAGCTTACAGAATTGGGCTAGGATTTGGTTACAGTTTAGGTTAAGGTGTAAATTAAGGACTTAGCTAGGGTCAGAGTTAGGATAGCGATACTGTCATATACCAAGAGAAAAAAAAAACGATTCATGTCTGGTTTGGTGCTTCCATTTTTTTATAATAATTATTACTTAAAAAAAAAGACAAGCAAAATTGTTTTCCCCTAGTTTTTGTGTTGTCTTACACCGCCATGTTATTCGCTAGTTGAAGAAACACGTAAACAGCGGTGGCAGCTTCAGCTGTCACAGGCCTCGTTCATTAATCAAGGGAGGTAAGCAGTGTCAAAGGGAGCGTAACTCTAATCCTACTGCGACCTCGTATTTAATGTATGAAAATGAGACGGGATCAGGAGGATCCCAAGATATAGGTGGGGAAGGGGGTTGAGGGGGAGAGATGTAAAAATACTAAAGGTCGTTTCTAGCTTTATTTCTGTCAGCTTTAGTTTAATTACGTTAAGTACAGAACGTTTAAGTTGAATACACTTTTTAGTTCTGTATGAACCTTTGCGAATAAAACAAGGAGGATTTATTTCCCCTTACGGGTATTATGGAGGTTTCTGTGTCAACTATTCCTGGATATGATTAACAGAGTTTTAATGCCCAGTGCTCTGTATAAAACGGATTGAGGGGAGGATTTATCTAAATTTAGAGATGAATGTAGTGAAATAGCAAACTCTTAAAATGAAGAATATAATTCGCCCCACCAGTACGCATTAAAGATGATTTTTATAAAGTTTTTCTTTAGATCTACTGTACCCAGACAGCATTGTCTCCCTTCCCACGCCCCGGGTAAAACGTGTTCCTTTGTTTATTCACTTTTTAAAAAATCACCTTTAATGCGGAGTAATGTATGCCAGTAGCATACTTGAACTTTATGTTTCAGCGGCGTAGATTTGCAAGAGGCTCTCGATTTTTCGGCTTTTAGAAAAGAATTTTATATATAGTCTCGCATTACTCTTCCGTCAGTCACCCAGCCTGTTATATTTTTTAATGATTAGAGAAAAATCATCGCAAAGGGTGAATCGCATGCATTCTCAATACTTACCATAGCAATGCAACTATTTTTTTTCTTGTAGTCTATGAAGTGTAGGTCTCATTGGCTTTAAATAAACAAGCATAATTACAAATCGTCTTTAACCTTAATGTACAAGATTTGTTCTGGCAACTTATAGCTTACATAGCGAACATATTATTTTGCCAAACTAACAACAGACATCCATAATTTAACAGTGCAGCTGTTGTTGTTTTCTTCTCCTCTTCTTCTTCTGTCTTCAATATATTCTCCTTCTACTTCTCCTTCTGCCTTGTAATTATTTTTTTTTACGAAGTTTAGGGGACCGTTGGGACGCCATTAGTGACTTTTTGGTCATCTCCACCATGTTCCTCTATAACTCTAAAATTCGTCCTTACTATGAAATTTTCCTGCCTTTTTTTATTTTTACCTGTCGCTTTTTTTTCTGCCTGTCACTGTACCTTGCAGAAAAGTTTTCTTTAATTCTGAGAACCTTGTGAAATAGTAACATCTTTCCAGTTTCCGTTGTTGTTTTTTTTTAAATATTGTCAACTGGTCATGGTGATGACCAATCGATTTCTGAAATGCGGTCATTGTACGAAATTCCTAGTAACTCCCTATAGCTTTTCTAGTTCAGCTGCCAGCCTCAAAAATTATTTGCACGCATACAGATATGTATTCATGAATATGCCTCGGTATGACTATGGTGCGTATGGTTTTGTTTTTAGTATTAAGCCTTGTAGTTGCCCCTATTCTCCGTGCAGTAATGGCGGTCAATTCAGGTTTCGATTTTTAATCAGACAGATTGCGTCCTGACGTTTAAACTTTTACCAAACATGTATTTTCTCGTTCTTAATATTGATAGTTAATTCAATGTCATTGTTCTCAATATAAATAGTGAATCCGTTGTCATTGTCATCAAAAGGTTTTTTTTTTTTTACCGCTTTAATCTGTTACCCAGCTGTGATTTTAAACCAATCTCCTACACTATTTTTGGAGTGTATTGCCCTTATTGCTTTCTGTTTTAAGCGTTATCTTTCTCTTTTTAGCATGCCCCAGCTTTGACGCTTCCATCCTCTATTTTACCAGCCCTCGATACGACACTGCTTCCAAGCTCAACAACATTTTTAACTAAAAAAAATTAGATTATAACAAAAACAACACATAAAAGAACGTAATTAGATCACCACTTTTTAAATTCATTTATTTAAGCAGACATCATTTAATTAAACCAGTTCGTTCGTCTGTCTAGAGGCTAATAGCAAAATATGGCCGACGACGTGGATGGGTCAAGAGAAGGGACGCTATTCTATTCAACCAGGCGTTGTTTTCCTTGATAAATGCCTTCCATTTGGATCCTTCCGATATGTGTTATGGTGGTATTATTGATTAATTAATTATAATTGTATTACAAACTAATTATTATGGTTTTACTTCATGAGTGGGGGGGGGGGGGGGGGGTCAGTAATGTACGCTGCAGTGCCCAGTTGTTGTTTTTTATACCGTTTGTTAGCTACAGGCTTCGTGATCATACGAAGCTGATGGGGGGGGGGGGTACCAGTTTGTTTTGTTGGGTTATAGATCGAAATAAAACGAGTGGGTGTTTTAAAGAAATATTTTAAGGGGGGGGGGGTGTATTGAAAATTTATAAAACAAATATATGCAGTAAGTAAAAATGACAAGATTTCTTGTTATATATATTATTTTAATATGTGCAAGATCCGGTAGCTTGGGTAGGATTTTGTGACCTGGACGTTTTAAATGATTCACCATCGCAAATTGCTATAATTTAACATGAGAACCTCTCATTTCGGTCCATTGAGAGGCTGGGGTGTAATAGGATTCGGGCTATTGCTATGTTGAAGGCAAAAGTTGGAATGGGAATAGTTTTAATAGCAAAAAATGTTTAAATGCTACCTGTTGACTGTTTTAAAAGTACATTTTCTTTTTAACAATGCTATCTAAATACCACACCATCAAAATACCGAGCCATCAAAATACCGAGCCATCTAAATACCGAACTATTTGCCGAGACTGCGTCCATTCCATCGCTGTGCAACCGATGCAGCTAAAAATAGACGATCACGTTGGGGCGAGACCTAACAACGGCTGAGTGTTAATGAAAATTATCAACGCGGAACTTGGCATGTGTCGCGCGGTGCGGTTTGGTGCACAAACATTCGGTTCGGTACGTTTTAATTGGAGACTCCAGCGACTCCAGCGCCTTGTTTTTCAACATACACAAACCAGCTGGAGATAGCTGATACATAGGGCAGGGTTCTCTTGGATGTTCAATACTTTCTTTTTAGACATCAGACTTTAACTGTAAGACAAGAAACATGGTGTCATGAAGACATGAAACAGGGTGTCATGAGGACATGAAACAGGGTGTCATGAGGACATGAAACAGGGTGTCATGAAGACATGAAACAGGGTGTCATGAAGGCATGAGACAGGGTGTCATGAAGACATGAAACAGGGTGTCATGAAGACATGAAACAGGGTGTCATGAAGACATAAAACAGGGTGTCATGAAGACATGAAACAGGATAACTTAAAGACATGAAACAGGATAACTTAAAGACAGGATATCTTGAAGACATGAAACAGGGTGTCATAAAGACAAGAAACACCCTATTCGTATGTTTTGATTCTCCAGCGTTTTCCAACTCAGTTTTAATGTTCTTGTTCAATTAGCCTTCCAACATTAGAACAGTTTCTTACCAGTGGCGTTGGAGTAGGTGTTTTTGGTGTCAAAACCTCCTCATCCACGGACCAACCCACCCCTTCCCCACACCCAATATAACAACATTCAAACGTTAAGTTTGCGCTATCGATGAATGTGTAGCCTACTGATGACGTATAAAATCAATGGTGTTTTTTTATGCTTTTGTTTTCTTTTAACCGGCGCAAACAATATCGTACTGTTTGTGTTTATTTAAAGATCAAAGATTCGTTTATTATAGTAGTGTTTTCATAACTATCAAGGGGAAATAAGTTTAAAATTCTATCAAAATATGTCTGTGTGTGTGTTAACCTGAATCATCTCCATTATTCATAGAAGTACTTTAGCACAACGCCTACCTTAAGATTGCATCTGATCGTCTTCTACAATCTTTTAAACTATTCGTAATGAGCTGCTGGCTATTTGTTCTGACGTAGTCGCTTAAATTTGATGTGTGATTCGTTGATTTATGTTAGAATTTAACCATTTACGGCTGTTATAAAAACTGTGTTAATGGTTTTTAACAAAGCTTTGTCGAAATAAATTCAGACTAACGTATTAGCAGCGACACGAACAAAGACATAAATAAAAGGATGATTAAAATCGTGTGATCGCCAAGTTCGCATACAGACCTGACGCTCAATCAAGCAGATGAAGTAGGGTTCGTGAAAAACCAATAGACAAATAGTTAAAATAAAGACTAGTTGAGTACATACAACTTATATGCATTCAACCAACATTTTCTGCTATAGGTGAGGCTATACGGAAGAAGGTATGGGCGGTATTATTCTTCTGTAAATAGATGTGGCGACAGAGAGTCTTGTTCTTTGGACACTGGTTTTTAAATTACTAGCTTAGTTTACAACATGAATAGTTTAGTTCAGTTACCACTCAGCCATTTCGTTAACTTATTTCAAACTTTCCTACTTTAAGTTTCGTACATACCAAATAAGAAAAGTGTATTCACGTTGATAACTGGTGTAATGGTGTGGGTCCCAATAAAGTGAGACGGTTATCGTGGTTATCGGTTCACTGACCACGCCCATTTGTTTAGACAGAGATGACCATACCAGTATGACTTGTTATAACAGTAATAGGTCGTCTATAAATAGCATTTCATTTTAAAGCGATGTTTTACTCTCAAACCCGAATTGTCAAGCGTGGTTACAAAAACCCTCCCCTTCCATTAATACCTAAATATATGACAATCCTCCAAACCCCTCCCCCTCCCCCCCCCCCCCCCCCCCCCCCCGCCTCGACTTCTCACACACCTTTTCCCACCGCACCAACCAAACTAAAATGTACATGTTTGTATTGAAAACTAAAATCATTTATATTCAGGAAAAATTAAAATGTATTTAAATATATACTACATGCCAAAAGCTTCCCCTCATCAATAAGAATGGTGACGTTATTTATTGTAGAGCTCCCATTACTAAAGTGTGGCTAACCTTTTTCTCCATTAATCTTTCTTTAAAACTAAATGTATCAGTTTTAACAGACAAGACGCCATTTTCACATGTACAATTAAGACAGATAGATTTTCGTCCATTGTGTCCACTAATTACACGACAGTCGCTGGTCTCTTGTGTATTAGGTATTGGGCAGTTTATTTTGTTTTGCGTATAAAAATACTTTTTTCTTTTACATCTATTTCAGATATTTTCAGAATTCTTTCTTTTAAAAGTCTGTGGTCTATTGCCGTTTCTTAGAAGGCCTAGTTCACTACACAATCACCTACGCTTAGATTTAACCTGAATTGTTGATTTGTCTCCACTGGATTATTTCCCCTTAGATGTATACCGACTTGTTGCTTTGTCTTCACTCGATTTTCTCCCCTTAGATTTCTTCTTCTTCTTCTTCTTCGTTCTTAATTTTTGAATATGGTGGAGGATTCAGACAACAAGTCCAACTTCGTGGACAAACCGGACTGTGGTCTCCAGTTTGTCAGGTGTCCCATATAATTTTTCCCTGAGTGGGGTGGGCTGGGGCCAGTGTCTGACTCTTGCCTGGCCATACAGAGTACATTCCTGGAGTACGTGCTCCGTGTTTTCCGGGGCCTTGCCACAAGGGCACATTTCGCTACACCCAACCTTCAGTTTTTTGTGCATGTGTTGATTTAGTCTGTTGTGGCCTGTTCTAAGTCGAAAGATTATGTATTGTTGTTTTGTTAAATTGTAATAGCCGTCGTCTTTAATGTAGTGAGGGTGTGTGACAGACCACATTTGCGTTTGTTTGTTTTTTATTATTCTTTTTATTTCTTTTGGGTGTAGCGAAATTTCCGGTTGTGGTTTCTTTCCCCCAATTTTTGCCAGCTGGTCTGCGATCTCGTTACCCTAGATCTGGCAGTGGCCCGGGATCCACTGCAGCACAATTCTGCTGCAGGTATTTTTTAGCCTCTCTAGTGCTGTCATAAGTGTTCGAATATAGGACTCTGGATTTTGTAGGGATTGCAGGACTGATTTGGCATCTGTAAGAAATACAATCTGACTATTCGGTGATTCAGTGTGTTCTGACAGGAGGTTTGCTGCGTTTTCTAAAGCTTCTTTTTCTGCCCTAAAATTGTCGGATAGGCTGCCTGTGGCTATTGCCTTTTCCAGGCTTTCTCCGCTTGGCCATTCAATAAGGATGCCAGCCCCGCCATTTTTTGTGGCATCTTCAGCTGAGCCATCTGTGAAAACTCTAATCCAGGTATTGCTGGGGTACTGATCCTTAATGTGTTTATTTGTTATTTTCTTAAGACTTGATTTTTTTTTCTCGACCCTCATCTCCCCTTAGTTTAGTTAAACTTACCCATTGATTTGTCTCCCTTAGACTACCACCAGGAGAGTGAACTCGCCACAACCTACTTCTACAGTGGGACTGGGCTATTGGACGCCAGCATGAACAGCGCTGACCCCACGCCGGACCTACGGGCGGGGCGTAAAAAGGGTGACAGGAGACGTTTCGACAGCGCATCCATTGCGTCATCGTGGTAATTGGGTTTTTTTAATTAACATATTCTAGCCTTTATCTTATCGTTAATTGTATCATCACAGACTGATCGTATGGATCTAATTGCTTTTTTTAAATATTGAAATAAATTGTCAATGTCAACAGGTTGGCCGGGGTCGGCGTTGTCGACAGTGTTTCTTCCAGACTTTTTTCTCCGGGGGGGGGGGGGGGGGGGGGGGCACTTGAAATTTTCGGGGAGGGGGGGGGGGCGGACACTGTTAAAAGTATATATTTTCTATATAAATTATATAAATTCCCCCCCCCCCCCCGAAGAAACTCTGGTTGTCGAGTCGGTAAAGCTCATAGTTGCTAAACCGAAAAGATCTCGAGGCAGATGAGGCTCGTCAGCTGGGGACAGCCACTCTTCTAGGAGAGACAACTCCAAAATCAAACAACTTCTGCCTTGTAGTTTGTTCTTGGTTTAACAAAGGCTATGGAAGCAAAACTTAAAAGAAAAGCAGGCTGAAATCGGAGTCATCGGCCTCAATGGCGCATAACCAGTTGACACATATACTTAATTGTGTTTGAGGCGTGGTAGAGTTCAAACCTTCTGGTATATAAGGCTCGATCACTTCCATCACTGAAAATTAAGAACGAAGAAGAAGAAAATTTCAAATTTATTCAAATTTATTCAAACAACGGTTACAATTGTAGGCACAAAGGCCTTTTTTCACATTGGCCGTTTAAACAAATAAAACAATTCAATAACACATAGCAGTAACATAGCACTAAAAATGTGGAATAAAGAAACAATGTTACATAGTTATCATACATAATGAGATAAAAAAGAGAATATAATAGATGAATGAGAAATGTTACAATGAGTCAGTTAGGTCATTAAATAATTATAGTTTTAGTTTAGATTTGAATACATTTTCAAATCTAGATAGCTTTATTTTATTAGGAAGATTGTTGAAAGAATAGGTTGGCCTACTACACGCCGATTAGTTATATCTATGTCGTTTCGGTTAAGCAAGGGGGGGGGGGGAGACTCCCAAGTGGTTGTATGAGTGTGGTGAAGGGTGTGAAAATGTTATTTTTTTATGGATGTCATTAATTTATGACTAGATATATGATTGCTTATTTCGCTACTTCATATTTCCCAAACCTAAGTATGGCTAATCGATAATAATCATTTTATTTTCCGTCACAAATTGTAAACCTCTATTTCCAGTGGAAGACCAGAGAACGAGGTCTCGACGATTCCATACAGGTCAAGGGCACTACGCGACCCTGAAGGTCTCGTGCTGGTGTCGCAGCCCCACCCAGGCTTCATATACCCAGGGTACCCTCCCCTGGCCCCAGCCTTTGTACCTTTCGATCCAATCCTGACACCGGAAACGGAAAAACGTCCGGTAAACATAAAAACTTGGCCCAGAAATTTCAGTGTGTGGGGCGGAAGTAATCAGCTGTTTGCTTTTTATCAATACAATTTCGTTTCTTTAAAAAAAAAAAAACTAGACCACCAGCCTGTTCTGAGTGCTCTGCAAACAGTGTCATCTTCAAATAAACGTCATAAGAGTGCTTTTTAAAAATGAATAAGAATGAAAGATGGAAAAAATAAAGACAAGCAAAAACCTGCGCTCTGTATATTATTTTTAACATGTTCATCAAATTACAAAAAAATATCTCGAATTACCTCCCTTGAATAAACACGATTCTCTCTCCTTTCATCTCCACAGAAACACAGGGGAAGAAACCCATACGACAACCTACAGACCCTGAAACTAAGGCAGATTGTCATCTTCATGGCCAGTGCCTTCATCGTTGCCTTCTTCATTGTTATATTTGTTGCTGTTTACTTTGGTCGAGGTTTCGAGACCAATGTAAACACATAAAAATACTGAAAACCATTTTTTTCTTTACATTCAAAGTGCATGTCGTGATCAGTTATGGGCAAAATGTAGACCTATGTACATATTTTAAAATACACTTCTGTGCCTAAGCTAGTTTTTGTAAGTAAAAGATAAATAATATTTACAAAAACCCCACATTATTTAAAACTTTCTTTACACTGTAACCAACAGCGCTAGAGATTTTATTGGAAATAAATATAATTTCTCGCAGTTATTCTACCAGGGGAGACAATCTTCAATGCCCTCAGATCAACAGATCACTAATAAAGTTTGTCTTCAAATTGTGCCTGGTGCAATCTTAATATTTTTAAAAAAATGGGTCTGAATCACAATGCTAAGGTTTGAAAATTCCCCAATGCATGACAAATGCTCTGGCACAGCTATGTCACTCCAAAGCAAGATAAGAATCTTTAACACAAATTTTAAGGCAGTATTGCTTTATTGCTCGGAGACTGGAGGGTGACCCAAAAGAAATACAGACAGGCTGCATGTGTTTACACACAGATGTCTACGACAGATCCTCAAACAAGTTGGTCAGACAAAATATCCAACAAACATCATGTGGCAACACACAAAACAACAGCCAATAGACAGGATATTAGAGCCTGTCAGTGTGGAGGATTGGTCATACCCTGAGAAGGGGAGAGAATAACATCTAGAGGAAGGCATTAGACTGGAATTCTCATAGGAAGAGGAAAGTAGGCCGGTCAAGGAAATCCTGGAGAAGGGCTACAGGCAATGGCTACAGGCTCACATGGTACAAATAAAGAGGACCGCTCACAGAAGAGTTTGATGGAGAGGTGTGTTTGCAGCCCTTTGCTCCTCAGGGGTCCAAAGGTATAAGACGTGACAAATGTTCTTACTTGTAACCGTGAGTCACGCAGATGTCTTGGCACATTGTTCTATAGATTTGTTCTATTCTGCTATCTCCAAACATATCAGTGCAAACCCAAACAATATCTGCACTGTGAAGTTACTTAATACTTGTGTGACTGAGGTACCAGTGCCTTGTTGAAATATATTTCATTCTTTAGGTATAGCAGCCATAGCTAGAGTAGGCTTAAAGTTTTCTAAAAGCCAGATGCAAACAAGTGGCCCTAAAGCTGACTGAATTAAACTTAACATAGTCTGACTTAGGCTCACAATGTACAGGTATATTTCTTTTTAATGTATATTTTTTAAAGATAAAATCTAAACACTTAAGTTACAGACAGCCTAGGGTTCACATAGTTCATGATAATAGGTTCAAGGTGCATTGAACCCATGACACATAGAGTTCAGGGTTCACTATGAGCAGAGTTCATAGTTCATTTACTGGTCCATTGTGTTTGTTTTGATACAATACACTGTTCTACATCTCTCAATATTAGAATAAAAGAGACTCATAGAAAACTTAGCAAATTACATACTGAAACTCGGTTGCTTTGATACTGGGTTTAAAATAAATCAGTGAAACAATAACCAAGCCAATTACAGCAGTAAAAATAAATTTCTATTTTAAATCACTGAATTACTTTCAATTATATTCTAATCAGAATGAAATTTAATTAAACTATTATATTACTCTGTACCAATAGTTCTGTCATTTCTTAGTAATCATATTTGTCTCTGAGATTTCTCAGCAAAAGGAAAAAGGTATTGAACTTCATGGAAGTTAACCCACATTTTTACAGAATAGTTCAGTCTTCAAAATGTGTGTTTCTGTTGGAAAATCCAAAAAGGGAGATAAAACACAGAGCAGCTTGGATTATAAAATATTAATTCCCTTTTCTAAAAGGAGAATGTTTGTAGAGAAAAGATGGACCATTTATTGTCCAGGGTCAGTTTTTTTCTTACACATCAATACAAAACTTAATCCTGCTATATTTAAAGGACAGAAAAAAAAATCCTAAGATATGTCTTATGTTTGTTATTTTATTTTTAATATATTGCAACATAAACAAATTGTATTATATACACTTATTGTATATTTACATTGAACACAACTTCACAAAAAGGATATAAAATGTTGATGAATCAGCAGTAAAAACATTTTTTAAAAAGTAGCAAGTACCAGAAGATGACAAATTAGAGGCTAAAACAAAAGATTTTTTATTGTATTTATCCATTATTAAGTTTCTAACATATGGACAGGGTTTGTATGACTTTTTGAAATTGAAATTCCAAACTTTTTGGAAAAAATTCCAGATTTTATACAGATGTTTTAGAGACTAATTTATAAAATGATGCAACAAATTGACAGAAAATAACTTTTCTAAGGCTGCCTACCCCACTTTCCCCAAAATTTTAACAACTAAAATAATTGATTAAAATGATGAAACTATTCGGAAATTATGGACTTTGTGGACAAGTTTTGTTTCTAATACTAGATCCCAGCCTTTTTCCAGACTATTAAAAACTCCAGCCGAAAATTCTAGTGATTTTCCAGAATTTTTCAAGTCTGATATTCACTTTTCTAACTTCCAGACTTTTCTAAACTGCGTAGGCCTACAAACCATGCATAGAAAAAGCTTTAGAATGAACTGCACTGGAACTTGAACAACTCTATTGCTGTCTCTTGGTCCAACCTATGACTTATAGTTTGGTGTCCAGAAAAAATACTGTTTTTTCTTCACATTCTGAGATATAAAAACCAAGATTAAAATTAAGTGCCAAGTCATTTAATGAATAAATAAACAGACAAAATTTCATTTAATCTTTGTCAACATCCTTTTTAAAATGTTTGTCAATAAAGATTCACATTACATAAGATTAAAAAAAGACTATAAAATGTAGATTTTAAAGTTTTGAAAATCAAATAACTTATGCTGCAGGTCTTTTAGTTTACCTTTGATTGTATTGAAAAGCTTTTAGTTTACCTTTGATTGTATTGAAAAGCTGTTTGCTGTGCTCTGTCCACAGTGTGGTTAGATTATTTGAATTGATGATTTCTTCATCCAGGATATTGTTCAGATAGAACACACGGCAGCAGTAGCTAGTCTTAGTTAAGATACAATCACATGGCAGCAGTAGCTAGCCTTTGTTAAGATACAATCACAAGGGAGCAGTAGCTAGTCTTAGTTAAGATACAATCACATGGGAGCAGTAGCTAGCCTTTGTTAAGATACAATCACATATGAGCAGTAGCTAGCCTTTGTTAAGATACAATCACATGGGAGCAGTAAGATACAATCACATGGGAGCAGTAGCTAGCCTTTGTTAAGAAACAATCACATGGGAGCAAAAGCTAGCCTTTGCTAATATACAATCACATAAAAACAGTACCTAGCCTTATTTAAGGTACAGTCAAATGGAATAAATAACTAGCATTTGGAATCTCATACACCAAATCAATCCTCATCCAATAAGTTGATTTAATTGAATGAAAGGAAACACATCATATTAGATCGGTTTCACTTTAGAACCTGTTGCTTTTATTTATAACTGGGATGGTGTATTCTAGTGACAGAGTACTTTAGCTATAAGAATGTGACTTTGAACTCAATAAGTCTGCAAAATGGTTTTACAGGTTTCAAAATAATTCTTTTGAAGCAAGTATGGTTGGACAAAACAATTACAGATAATATGGCATTAAAACCTTAGACGTCTACTTTTTGCGTAGGTTCTTGAATTACAACGTATGTTACATTTGAAAAGCCACGGTAATAAATAAAGCTCTGCACTTTTTACGGAACAATTTCACTCATACCTTTTAAATTTACAACCTGCTATGTTTAATTAATTAATAATAAATATAGCTTGATGCATAAGGATACTACTGTCGCAACTGTTTTTCAATGTCGTCCAGCCAATTCAACATAGCTGCAACAGGTGGAATAGAAGGCTCCCCCATGATAAAATCATGTGCATTAAGGCAGCTGTTGTATGTTTTACAAAGTTTTAAGGCATCAGTCCTAGCCTTATAAGCACCTTCCTGAAGCTCTTTGAATGGTGTCCTGTAAAAAATTAACAAGCATTAAACAAAAAAGAATTCTCACAAAATCAGTGTCATCAAACAAAGGCACAAGGGTGGGTAGCCATTATGACTTTATATTGAGCTGTATACAACTCACGGTTCAATCTTGAAAAAGTTAAGTCCCCTTACTGACCTGATAGTCCCTTTATACGAGAAGAAAAAAACTTATGAAAGAGAAACTGATGAATTCTACTTTATCTGCCACAGGGGCTATCTGGTTTGTAAGGGTACTTTACTTTCTTTTTACATTATGTAATTTATAGTATTCCTAGTCACGATAATTTTTGTTTACATGAGTTGATTATGGATTTGATAATGAAGAGAGAATTCTAGAACTGTTACTAATGAATTTTAAGAGATAAAAAACTATGATGGACTAATTATTCTTTTCCTGACTGAATCAAACACACTGTGTGAGTTGGAGAAAAGGATAGAAATTGATTAAAATATAGCCTACATATGTTGCTGCAGTATGGTGACCTTAGCATCTACTTCTTGTGAAATTTTGACTAGTAATGAAGTCTGAATATCTGGAAACAAAGTCACAATTGTCATCCCCCTTGAATCAAGTTTGACAGTTGACTCATACTGTTCCAACAAGTTGGCAAGGGAGGCTACCTGTTTTTTACAATTAGTTTCTGCAACCTCCAGTTGTGGTATCCCTTAAATAACAGAAACAACAGAATGTAGGGGTTTTCTGGTTTAACTAAAAGTTTACCTAATACATGCCAAACTGGTGTAATAGAAATACAATTATTAGATACATTTACAATGGCTATTTTCTGTATTTTTGTATACTTAAAACATTGATTAATATTAATAAACTGAATATCTAATATTCCTAAGCATATTGATATTCATATATTTTGTTTTAAAAAAAATATTTTAATTCTATGGGCTAACAATAATCAATTTTTTATTTGTTAGCTACAATACATTAACTTTAAACAAGCAATTTTTAATTTCTCAATAATTCTCTAGAGCTACTCAGCAAAATGAACTATGAAAAGATAAACTCACCAGTTACAAGCTTTTTAAAGAACCTTTGAAGTAAGCGTTTCAAAGCAAGGACTCCTTTATTATCTACATTAGGAGTGTCCATTTGATTAAAATGCAGCCACACTGCAAGCTACTAAAAAAAGCAAAATATTAAAAAATGTCAAGATTACTGTTGGAAATTAATAAGTAAACAGAAGTAAACAGCCTCAAAGTAAAACTAGTATTTTTCTTAAGGCGATAAACTACACTTATTGTAGGAATATTGTGAGGTATGACCTATTTAAATGAGATGGGTTTTTATTGTTATTTTTTCAGATTATTAAAAAAAATGTATTACAGGGCTCTCAGCTGCCCATGTGAGCCTTTGGGGGCCGAAACTGAAATTTTTGTTTGCAGCCAAATCGCACCCTACTAAGGTGCCGGCGGATAAAATCTGATTCAATTTAGTGGGCGACTGTAATGGCCCATCTTATTTATTGTCTACTGCACTGTTTAAAACGAACGTAGGCGCCATTGCGCTCACGGGAAAGCTTAGGGTGCCAAATCGAACCCTGCAGACACACACATACATTGCTTTTATATATATAGATTTTACATTTTAAGGAGGATTTATGTTTTGAAAGTTACAAAAAATTTTCAAAGTTTTATTAATGTGCCTGTTTTTAAACAATTGTATTAAAACTTTTCAGTAATAAATAAAGACTAGCGATGTATTCATCAGATGCAACCAAGCTCATTTACTTAAGCAGCCATCTTTTTAAAGGTTTTTTTTTGTAAAATTATAGTTAAACATTCAGGGGAAACCACTCTAACTTACAGAGGGCCTCTGTTTATATAGCAAATCTTGCTCGCAAACACTGCTGTTAAAAGTTAATTTCTGGCCTAGTAGTAGGTATATTGTGATATTTTTTTTTATTATTTAGCCATTGATTTTGGTTTATTATTCAGTTATCTATAATATTTGTAGCGTGTATTTCGAAAATTGAAAATTCGGTAATCTATCGTTTTGGGTACGTAAAATCGCCCGCGGCTATTAATGTACGAAAACGTTACCTCATTGTCAAGGCTTTAATAGGAGTATATTGTCATATGTTTGTGTCAAATATTATAGATAAATGAATAATAAACCTAAATCAATGGCTAAATATATCAATATAGGCAAGAAATTAACTTTAAACAGCAGTGAGTGAGAGCAAGATTTGCTATATAAACAGCAGCCATTTGTAAAATAGAGTGGCTTCCCCCTGAATCTCCCGCTAAAAGCTTATAAAAATAAAACTTAAACAAGATGGCTGCTATAGTAAATGAGCATGGTTGCATCTGTTGGAAACATCGCTAGTCTTCATTTATTACGGAAAAGTTATAATTCAATTGTTTAAAAACAGGTACATAAATGAAACAAGGAAACATTTTTTTATTTTAAAAAACATAAATCCTCCTCAAAATGTGAAATAATTATTAAAATTTAAGGAGTCACCTGGTTTTCACATTACAAGTCGCGGGCGATTTTACGTACCCAAAACGATAGATTACCGAAAATTCGTTAGTTTCGGGAGGAAAAGATACCGATCGACGCGTAATTTTTTACTGAAACTACTTTTTATACTCTGTGTGTGTCTAGGAAAAGTTTATTTAGCCTATTTCGATTTTAAAATTTTTGTGTTTATAAAAAATTTGGATTAACCTGCCACCATTATTTTTCCTCTTACATTAAAAAAATTCATAAAAAACGTTTTAATAACAAGCTTTTATGTAACGATGCACTAAAAAGTAGAAAATAAATTATAGACTACTATTTAAATAACTATAAAGAAAAGCGTGGGTCACTTTAGTATCTATTGGATACCTTTACTAATGTTAAGGAAGACACCCACGCTTTTCTTTATAGTTATTTAAATAGTAGTCTATAATTTATTTTCTACTTTTTAGTGCATCGTTACATAAAAGCTTGTTATTAAAACGTTTTTTATGAATTTTTTTTCAGTACTTTACATGTTTTATCTACAATAGAGTTACATGACTAAAAACCATTGCGCGCCTACTGAATATCACGTTCAGTAGGCGTGCAATGGTTTTTGAACGCAGCCATTAAGTGGTCGTGATGGCGCAGCTATTGATGACGCGTGTGGTGTGGTTGGCTAGACATGCCTACTAATTCGGTCCAAATTTTAATTAATTCATAAAAAATCAATTAGGCATCCAATTAAGTCAAATTTAGTTTCAGATTGCATTGTCTTCATGTCTTGACCCACGTGCCAACTGTGAATCGTGTCGGTCAAGTAGAACTGTCCGAATTTTCACTCCTGCGTTTCCGTCTAGACAGACTGACGACTGACGACTGACGAGGAAGTGAGTTAAATAAAAGCTTGTAAAAAAAAAAGTGTCTCCGATATTGGTAGTACACAACTTGATGACGTCATACGCGTCAAATTATATTTTCGGACTTTTCGTCATTTTACTATAAATTGTTAATGTAGTATTTTATTATGAGTTTGACTAATCAAAATTTTATTTACTATACACAACTAGGCCTATTAATAATTGAATAAATTATTAGGCATAGGCCTACTGAAAACTTGAATTACAACCACCATGTAGGCCTAGTAGTAGCAAAATATTTTTTTTTTCTATTATTAGGTTTTAACATTTGTGTAGGGCCCTACATGACCAACAATTTCATACCAATACCATCGTCTAAAATAGTGAAAATGTTATAATATAGTTTATATAGACCCTCTACAAAGGTGTTCAGCTGCTTCTTATAGTAAGGCCTATTGATTATCAATATTAACCTTGCTTGAACACATTATAGTAAGTTATAAAAATTCATCTGTTAAGCTAGTGATACTAATTAATGGAACCATTATCTCTCACCACTATGATTATTTATTCATTCTAAATACTCAATATGTAATTTGGTGTCTAATAAATATATATTTATTTATTAATGGACTGCTTACTTCCAATAATTGTTGTTGCACTGTGAATTGCGCAAGTCTAGAGAAAAAACTTCAGCATAAGCTTATTTTATCAGAACATGTATATGAAGGCTTACTCATTGGAGATTGTTGTTTTTTTCTAGACATGTATAGTATTCATGTGGTAAGTGCAAACATGGTGTTACTCACAGACCCACCAGTATAATTTCTTATACAAGACCTGGTTTCAAATTCAAACAAAAGATAAAAAGAATCAAAATGGTTTGCTTTCCAAAAATATTTATTTATTAGATTTAGATGCAATTATATAAATTTCAATTATCAATGAAAAGTACAAAAGTAATAATGGGTTTAAGTTTAAGGTGTGAGTACAACAAAGTGATTTATATAACAAGTTTTAGTTGATGCAAATAAAAAAATGATCAGGTTGAATGAAAGTCATCAGTCCAGGAAAGATACAAAAATCTGCAAAGAAAAAAAAAAGTTATTTGATTTGTTTACACTATACTGTGTATCAAATTAGAATACCATAAGTAAAATATAAAAAAAGAGATTAAAAAAAATAATACCATGTCATTACATACCAACCTTTATTTTTTAACCTACTCAATTAACTTGCTTTGCTGCGTAAATGTAATAGCCAATATAATTTTTATGTATTCTATAAAAAATCAATCACTACTAATCAAGTCAGCTATTAGTGACTCAGCAGGTAGGCAAAAGTCCTCAGCTTCATCCTCATCCAGTGCCCAGTAGCCTACAGTGTAGACAACAGACTTGTTCTTTTTAGCTAGTACTCTGTTAATAATCCTCACATAATAGCGATGCACTTTCTGATCATCTAGCTCCCACTTGTCAGTCAGCTGGACACCAACCAGGTCTTTACCACCCACAATTCTTGACAAAGAGGGTTTCAGCTTCTGTCAACACCACGAAATAGGGGATGGTTTACTGAGACATTCGATCCAGACAACACATCATAGATGGAATTTTCAGTATCTCTGCGTTCCATAGCTTCCAACTTTTTCTTCATTTGCTTCATTTGAGATTGAATGTCTGTGTCTATTTTGTGCTGTAACTGATTTGTGTCGATGACCCTGTCAAACTCCTCAATCAGTTTGAGATTCTCTGCCTGAACAATGTCATTCTTTACTGAGATCTTGACCCTTTCTCCTCTTAAAGCATCATCTATCTCCTTCAATACTCTGTCATTGTCAGCAAATCCATCTCCCATTTAACACTATCAATCTTGGTTCTCAATTCTCTTGCTGAAGATGTCCAGTTGTTCTTTGAAACCTAACCTGCAATTTAGCATATTTTATGTTTGAAATCATCAATAACTTACCCTTTCATGCTGTTTCTGCACCAGCCAATACCTGCTTTGACATCTGTTGTTTTTTTTTTCTTTTATGTAAAATACTTCCTCTTCCAACACTGGATCTGTGTCTGCTTTCTCTGCAATGATTTAGTATCTTTTCTTAGTTTACTTATTGTAGAAAAATATGAATTATAAAGGAAGTTCTGTGCAACTGTATTTTATAGCTGTAAGTTGATGAATCAAGTCATGACTTAGTATACTAAAATAAACAATTAGTGTTAGAAAAAAGTCTGTTACATTAGTAGTCTATTACAAATTACTTACTTAATCCTCATCACTCCCTGTGGAGTATAGGGCAGCAACAAATCCCTGCCATTCCACTCTGTCTTGGGCGAGCCACTTTAGTTCATGCCAGGTCTTGCCAGCAGCTTGCACTTCTTCTTCCATCTATCTCCTCCATGTTCCCAGTGGTCTTCCTCTCTTTCGTTTTCCAGTGCCATGTTGGGGAGTCATCTTTTGCTCATGCGAAGGACATGGCCCAGCCATCTCCATCTCCTCATTCGAACTTCTGAAAATACATTTGGAAAATTTAGATATAGATATCTAGGCATAAGGTTTATTTTAAAATAAATAGACTACGCCTACTAGGTTTATTTTACACAAAAAAAAAAACCATTTGTTTTTAAAATTGTGAGTCTAGTAAAAAAAAAAAGTTACTATTGTTTAGAGTAGAGGTAAGTTAGAACTAGATTAGATCTAGATTTAATTAGGCTACTTAACACTAAATAGGTATAATTAAAAGTAGTCTATAATTAATAATTAGGTAAATAATTATGATCACTTAAAGTACTGTCACTTATCAGAAATGTCTAAATGTGATTCCGATGGCTGAATGATTTCTCACTCAGATTTCAATCAAAGAGCTGCAAGACCACAGACTGAAAAAAAAAAGTAGATTAGAGATTCTAGAATCTAGAGTCTATATCTAGAAAATTAGATAGAATCTAGTTAATAGAGATCTAGATCTTTTAAAATAATCTAGATTAGGCTTATAGTATACTATACCATAGAATGTATTGTATAGAATCTACATCTAGTCTAGCTTGACGATCATCTGGATCTAATCTATCTAGATCTAGATCTAAGAATCTAGACTAGACTAGATTCTAGATCTATTTTACAAGATCTAGACTTGGATTTAGATTTCTAGATGATATAGATTATACTAATAAATTATAGAGTATCTAGATTTTATAGATTATAGATCTAGAATTGATCTGATCTACTAGATCTAGATCTAGAATCTAGATTCTAGATATTCTAGGTCTAGTTTAGTAGTTTAGTTAGACTCTAGAATCTAGTCTAGATTCTAGATATTCTAGATCTAGATCTAACTAAATCTGATCTACCTAATGACACTATTAAACCTAATTACTTTTTTTCGTAAAATAGTTTTTTTTAATAATGTTATTTTTAAAAAACTTAATAAATATACAATATTTTAAAAATCTTTTTAAAATAATGGCGGCTACAAAGCTATCGATTCAGACTTTGCAGGGACATTTAAACGACTTGTTGGTGGGAAATTAGCTGTTTTCAGACTTAATTTAAAGAAAATTTGCAAAACTCTGTCGAACAACCAAACTTTTAACAAGAACAAGAATCTAATTCAAATAGAAAAAAAATGCTGAAATTACCTCTATTTTTGACTCCAATAATCCGAAGAAAGAAAAACTAAATTAATAAATATCGTCCGCCAAAATATTTTCCAATATGTCAAGTAAACCCGAAGGGAAGAGAGCGTCAACAAAATGCCGGTTGGAACAAGCCGTTAGTCTATTTTTAGACTCACGCGCGGCGGTGACGGAAGCCTGGGACAAAAAGCGAAAGGGGAAGTCAGCGCCATTTCCAAAATGGTTGCCCTTAGAAATTACGAAGCCGCAATACACGCTAATATTTGACACAATATATCACAATATACTTCTATTATTAAAGCCTTAACAACATTTTCACACATTACATAAATTACGTAACTTTTTCATACACTACTAGATCTAGCCGCGGGCGATTTTACGTACCTAAAACGATAGCTTACCAGTTTTAATAATTCAATTGTTTAAAACAGGTACATAAATGAAACAAGGAAACATGTTTGTATTTTAAAAAACATATCTAGATCTAAATCCTCCTCAAAATGTGAATTGATTATTAAAATTTAAGGAGTCACCTGTTTTTCACATTACAAGTCGCGGGCGATTTTACGTACCCAAAACGATAGATTACCAAACGGCAAACAGTAAAACACTGAACCTGATTGAACCGTTGAAAAACCCAGGGCAGTGGCTTCGAAGTAAAAGCTTTAACTTTTTATAAGGCATTCTTATGTCGTAAAATGCTTTTACCTGAGCGAAGTTGTTGCAAATCTTTTTAATCTAGATCTAGATTTTGATTTATTAACACATAATTTTAAAAAAATCTGTAGTGTCTAAGACTAGTCTAAGAGTACTCTAACCTAGTCTAAGAGGCATAGAATAGATCATCTATTAATCTATTATCTAGTCTAGATCTAGAATTAGAATCTAGAATGTGACTATTATTAGATCTAGAATCTAGATCTACTAGATATCTATTCTATTAGTATTAGATCTATTTAATTCGGCTATTTTATACACTCCAAAATTAACTGTAAATCTAAATTTAAATTAGATAGGCCTATAGACAGGGGCGTAGCAAGGGGGGGGGGGGGGCGGGGGTGCGGACCGCACCGGGTGACACCATTTAGGGGGGTGACACTAAGGCAAAAAATAGCAAAATATAAGAAAAACTTGAGGGGGGTGCAAATCAAAAGTTTGAGGGGGGGGGGGGGGTGTGTGCAAATCGAAAACTTGAGGGGGGGTGCAAATCGAAAGTTTGAGGGGAGGTGCAAATCGAAAACTTGAAAGTTTGTCCCCGGGAAGGGTCGCTACGCCTCTGGGGGGGTGACACCATTAAGTGCCTCACCGAGTGACACGCGACCTCGCTACGCCACTGCCTATAGAATCTATATTAGATTCTATAGTATAATCTAGATCTAATTTAGAATTTTAGATGAAACATTTTAAATATTTATCTGAGTATATGCAGGAGTAAAAATTTACATTAGATCTAAATATTTATAATAATTCTAGAATCTAGCTAGATATAGAGATCAACACAATTTATGTCTAATCAAATCTAACAAAAAAGAAAACAACAAACTTACATTAAATTAGTGATAAAAAAACACTAATTAATAATTAAGAACAAGAATCATCTCTATTTCAGGTGTAAAAGAAAAGTACCATTTTTTTTCTCTAAGTCAATTTAGAACTATTGTAATTTTTCTTGTAATAGGCCTACTTTGATTAGATGTTTTTGTTCTGCATTGTTTTCCCACCCCCTATGGTATTTAAATTACAGTTGACCTAATAATGTTTTAGCATCTGTTACAAAACTAGTGACTCAATAGCTGAGAGAAATGAATACCATGTAGCTGGATACTGAGCCACATGTTACCATAAGCTGTAGGCGTAATGGACACAGAACATTTGGTGAGATACAGTTCAAAGCAAGACCTTGGTTATATGTTAAAGTTGGGTCTACAAGTATTGATCTTAAAACTGTACAGCTTCAAAGTTCAAATCTGAACATTAAAACAGATGTCAAGGCCAGTGATGCTTTCAAGTGTAAAGTTGTAATTGCTTTAAGCTGTGTACACTTTCTTGTAAAAATGGTAATACCTTTTTTTAATTTATAGATATTTAAAATATGTGAAAATAAAATTTGATGGGTTGTGATTTCTCCGCAGGACAACACAGTGGAGGACATTGACGAGGTGTTGTCTTCAACGTTAGGGGCCCTGTACGGGCGAGCAACACCAGCAGTGGTGAGACAAGCGTGGGAGGTCCTCAACAACAACTACGGCGATGATGTGGACAGGTTTAAAACTGAGTTCCTCAACCCTGTTCTGGAGTTACTACACACCATACTGGAGGTAGGGCACTTCTACTTCTCTCACAGTTTAAATAGATTCACAAATGTAACAAAAACAGTGTTCCAGTATGGTCTTAATAGCAATTTGCTTTTGTTGGAGGCAAGGAATGTGAACACCAAATAAAATATATAATTCAGAAGTTGGGTTCAAACATTTTGCATTGTTTACACTTTCTTTATTATCTTAGGGTAAATGTACAGTTAAATAGAACTTCTAGAAAATAACAAACTAGATGTTAAAAAGAACTAGATAAATTCATTCTTCTTACAAGGGACCAAAAAGTTTCCCAGTCAAGCCTAGCCCATCCTGTTCTATTTGTAGTTAAATGCTGAAAATTTCTATATGACTTGTTTGTCCAATTTTATTCTGTGCTGAATATTGTAAACAGCTATGGTAAAGCTACTTTTTAAATCCAAGAGAGGAGGTATTGGTGAGATGAGAGGAGGTATAGCAGTGGTGAGGTGAGGTATTGTGATGGTGAGGTGAGGTATTGTGATGGTGCGGGTTGTGTCACATGATAAATGAGCTAAAGTGTCATATTTAGTTGCTGTTTGGATTAGACTTTAGTATCTGGTTTCTTTTACTCTAAATAAATATGACGTGATGTTTATACCAACTTGAATGAATCATTGTGGCAAATAGGAATATAAAAACTAGGGTTCAGTAAAGTCTTGCCTACTTGAATGAATCATTGAGGCTAACAGCAAGTTGTGGGTTGCTTTCTTTCTGTGTAACAATATATCCTGCAGCACAAGTAGCTAAGTTTAGCTGTGCTTGCTGGAATAGATCTTTTAGACAAATACACATTTTTTTTTCTTAATGTAACTTGAAATGGGGTGTCAGATTTCAAGGCTTATCCTTTAAGATATGATTTTAAGAATTCCATTATAAAAATCCATATGCATACATTGTAAGGATTGTGTGATGCTTTTAGTTGAATAAAGACCAAACATACTCTAAACGAGTTATACATGTTTCTTTCAGACAAGTATTTTCTCTGGGAGGGCGAGTTATACATGTTTCTTTCAGACAAGTATTTTCTCTGGGAGGGCGAGTTATACATGTTTCTTTCAGACAAGTATTTTCTCTGGGAGGGCGGGCTGACACCAGTTAAAGAGCATATTTTCTGTATAAATTTTTTTTTTTTAAATATTGTTGTGGAGGGGGGGGGGGGGGGTGTCTGTAATCCTCCAAAGAAACAGTTAATAGTATAATAATTTCTTTAAAACTTCTCACAAGTCTGATCTATGTTAGAGGATAAAAAGCACACGAAAAGAAAAACAAGAAACCTGCAAACTTTTTAAAAACGTGTTAACACCAGGCTACATAAAAAAAACAACCTAGGGTATCTTAACCTTTAAATAAAACGCCGGGAACCAGGAAAACACTGTAGTGTCACCTAACAGGTAACATATGTTAAAAATAAAAGCATAAACAACACCAGTATTTCTAACTGATGTATATTCAAGGTTCATTTTTTGTATTTCTTGTCGCTCCATCGCCATGTCTCCTGTCCTGATAATGTGATGTACCGTGCCTGGAAATGTCAGTCCAGCGTGAACATTGTATGGCTGTTTTGCCGGTCACCATGTAATATATACTATAGGCATCTTTCAATGCACACGCCGCTCCCCCTAGCAACCCCAAAAGCCTAGCTACGTCCTTTGCTAGCGTTCCTAGTGCCTCTCAAAATGATACCGCTGCATAATAATAAGGATTATGTACTACATTTAGTTACAGTGTGTCAAATGTAATGTATCAAAGAGCAGTGGCCTCGCTATGTCGTGTGGCACATGGTACGGCACGTCATGGTGTCACCCCCTCCCACACCAAAGAAAAAAAAGTATATATATATATATATGTGTGTGTGTGTATGCATTGTCGAGATGGTCAATGAGTAGTTATCAGACTTTTAAACTCTGCAAATAGCATTTTTCTTCTATATATTTTGGAATTTTTCATCTTGGTGTCACCCGGTGCGGCCTGCACCCCCCGCCCCCGTCAAAGAGGGTTTGTAAGGATGAGGCCGCATTTCAACATGCAGGTCTTGTTTACCTGCTAAATTATTTTGAAAATGCTGTACATTCAGTCTAGTAAATGATGTTTGCAAGATCCCTTTACCTTTACGCCTAATATAGAGAAACTAACTGTAGATAATAAATCAGGTAGAAATGACTATTTACATGGTGTATGTCATAAATGATATATGGGACAAGTGAAGTGAGCTCAACCGTTAGGCCACGCTGTCCCCTAGTTGGTAATGCCCCAGATGTTTTGATCTTAAAATTTAGAAAATTATCAAAGCCTCAAGTTAGATTCCAGGATCATCAGTAGAACATCACTGAGTCCACCCAACTCTGAGGGGTACTTAACTCACGTTAGGGAAAGTAAGGTGACTTAGCATAGTGCTGACTACACTATCCGTTCATATGCCTAGGTCAATAAAACAGGTGAACTCTACTTAACTTGCCCCATAGACTATCAGGTTTGAAAGAAAACTTGGCTTACTTAAATATTTATTCAGTTAAAAGTAAATTATTAAAGTATTTATTTTATTATAATTTTCCATGTAGGCTAATCTTTCTGGGGCTGTTTGTAGAACTTAATGTTTAGTCGTCAATTTGTTGCTGTTGATAATTTTGTAAATGAATGAAGCTTCACAAATAACTAATAGCTGTAATCAATTAAATTAAGACTTAATTTATAAAGCTTCATAGAAAAAGGATGTACCTTTTAAGAAAAGAAAATTACTGTTTACATTTTACTAGGTACTAAAGGATCTTGGTGAACATAAACAATCACTTCATAAGCCATCTTGCTAAACGTTATATTTTATTTAATCTTATTGCAATTTTAACTAGTTTTATAACTTATGTGTTGGAAGTTTATTTATATACTGCCTTTGCGCTAACATTGAGATTGTTTAAGATTTAAGAAAAAAAGCTTCCAATGCAGCTCCTTGATGCAGTTAATGTAATGGTAGTACTTCCTATATAGTGAGAAAAAAATATGAACTCTACTTATCTCAACTAGTGACAGATCCAAAAAAATACCTTTTTTAAAATTTATTCTTCTCTTCTTTCTTAAAAAAAATCCTAAAGCATAAATTAACACCTTACAACCTATCATAAAAGCATACAAAGTTTGTATATAAATGTATTTACTGGAACCAAATATATGACTCATTACAAAAGATCTGCTTTCATTTTCATCACTACCACCAAATGTTTTCCTTTGTTGTTTTCCTTTGTTCCCAGATGATGTGTCATCAGATTTTCGCTTCACTCCTTTTTTCTGTGCCAAAATCTCCTCATCTGTTAACCTCTGCCGTACCCCGTCTGCAATTGCTCTCTTCTCAAATACTTCTCCCTTTTTCTCTTTACGTTTCTTGATCTCACTTAATGTCTTTGACTTTTCATAACTGTTTACATAAAAGTTTGTCTGTTTTTTCACCTGAGAAATGTCTGCCCTGATTCTGCTTTCATATGTTGCCCTTTTTAATTCCCTGTCTGCATTTACATCAGTCCAAGTAAATTTAGGCAAATACTTTATATTCCATATGCAATTAAACCAAGGATTCCTTTTTTTGCCACCAACTTGTGTATTGTTCAAAGCCAGAGCCACATATTTGGCTACACTCTTCTTTGAGAATTCTACCCATCCTTCAGTAAACAGCAGGCCTTTCTTATAAGAGTAGCTTTTCTCTGAGGAAAAAAAAAAACTTTTAATGTTATTCAGCCACTATCTTAAACTTTTTAACAAACTTTGCACAAATAAAATAAAAATATTTCTATTATACACTTTTAGATATAAACCTAAATGAAAACAATGTCCATAAAGAAGAGGGGGGGGGGGGGGAAATCTCTCACTAAGATGAATGAAAACTTTGTCTTGCTGAATCTCATTATTCTTATGCAAGACTACAAAGAAATATACTTAAATATAGATCTACTTATCTAATAAAAATAAGTAATTTTAAAATTATGTTTTCTTTTTAATTTTTTAATGAATGAAAATGGATTTTCAAGAATAGTTTCACAGAAGCTGATTTAAAATCAATTTGAAAAGTGTATCTTCCTCAAAAATGATTCTCAAACATGCTTTATTATAGAACTCTAACTGGGAAGTCTATAATTAATAAATTGATAGCCTAGCCCTAATACTACTAATAGTTTAAAATATTTACTGATGTCAGAGAATTTCTGAGAATAGACTTCCAAAAATAAGAGTGTTAGTATTGTATAATCTCAGGTTTAGTTTTAAAGTAAAAAATTATGATTACGGCCCTGGTAGAACAAATTAGTATTTGTTTAGGGTTAGCAAGCCACAATAGTAGTAGATATACCACATTATGTTAACTTACAGTAGGCCTAATCTAACACTCCTTATTTTTTAGATGATTCCATGATTCTAGTTAAGTGAAATAATTTAATAAAAACAAACAATCTGGTCTAGACTAGATCTAGAGATCTTGATCCTCAGATCCACCAAGGAGAAAAACTCCATCTTTGTCGAGGGGTCACTGTGAGTTCAGGTTAGTTTTGATAATAGATAAGATAGCATTTGTCGTAGCATAAACATTGCTATCAAAATTATTAATGATGTCACTTTAGCTTTTCCCTGGACTAAACCAAGTAGGCTCATATGACAATATTGAAAAATAAGCTTTTCAGACTCAGGCTCAGGGAGTTGTAAAACTAAAACATCTGATTTTTTGCATGTTAGCCTACCTAACTTTAATAGCCTAACTACTACTAGTAACTAACAATATTATTTTTTAATTAATAATTATTTAGGCCCTAGCCAGGCCTATTATAAACTATTATTTACTAAATTTAGAATATTTTAGATAATTTAGAAAGATTCAGCTGCAAAAATAAAATCATCAGTAAATAGGGTAATCTATCATTTTGGGTACCCAAAATCACCCGCGACTAGTAATGTGAAAAACAGGTGACTCCTTACATTTTAATAATTATTTCACATTTTGAGGAGGATTTATGTTTTGAAAAATACAAAAATGTTTCTTTGTTTCATTTATGTACCTGTTTTTAAACAATTGAATTAAAACTTTTCAGTAATAAATGAACACCAGTGATGTTTCCAACAGATGCAACCATGCTCATTTACTATAGCAGCCATCTTGTTAAAGTTTTATTTTTATAGACTTATAGCGCGAGATTCAGGCAGAAGTCACTCTATTTTACAAATGGCTGCTGTTTATATTAATATCTTGCTTGCAGACACTGCTGTTTAAAGTTAATTTCTGGCCTATATTGATATTTAGCCATCGATTTAGGTTTATTATTCATTTATCTATAATATTTGACACAAACATATCACAATATACTATATACTATATACTTATACTAGATCTATATACTTCTATTACAGCCTTGACAATGAGGTAACGTTTTCGTACATTAATAGCCGCGGGCGATTTTACGTACCCAAAACGATAGATTACCGTAAATAGTAATAGTAGAATAGATAGATCTAGATTCTACTCCGCGTATCCTGTTTGTTTGAGCCGTATGCCTTAGCCTTTTTGAATGGCTTTGACTTTGATTGATTATTATGTCATTAGTCATTATTTATAATTATTTAACTTATGATGAAGATTGAAGATGAAGACGAAAAAAAAAACGTCTTACCCACGGGTTGAAAAAATGTTCTGTTAACTTCACCAAACTCTCCAAATACATTTCTTAACTTTTGAACGCTCATATATTCTGGAACTGTGCTTAAATATATTATTCCGGGTTTGTCTTTATTATCTTTTTGTTTATTGGCTTTTGAATTACTCGAAGAAGTAGCATGTTCCTCAAATTTTTCGTCCATATTTGTTATTGTGCGTGCTATTAATACTTTCCAATGCTAAAGATTTTGTAAAGGGGAGTTGTATTCTTACTTGCCGTTTTGGCATGTTTGGAATTCATTTTCACTAACTTACAATTTCTTGCCCCCATGCAGTAGCGTACGCAGGGGGGGAGCAGGGGGAGCGGCCGCTCCCCCTCTGGCCATTTTTAGCAAAGTGGCGCCTTTTTGGAAACTTTTTAAGCTCAAAGTTTTAAACATTGGTATTTGTTAAAAAATTATCTTGGTCGGCACATTTGAAACGTAAATCTCTGTGAATATTGTTCTTGCAATTACCAGTAAAAGGTATGTGAGCAATACAGTGATCTAACCCATACCTTCTCATTATGTAAATAAACCGGTAGTGATCTCCCCTAAACTTTCTCGAATATTCTTATATAAAACAACAGGGGATGGTAACTGGGGATATAGCTATGATTTTTAATCCATTTTAAATACTTAAACTTTTAAAAATAGAATAGAATCTCATAAAAAAAAACATTGCGCACCAAGCAAACGCCGAATAAAAACGCGTATAATAGTGCGCAATATTATTAGTACTTTAAAAATTTACATTAGTTTTTTGAGAAATCGGAAGTAGCGTAAATTACTACTTCCAGTCAACGGAAATTACTCAAAATTTAACAGAAGGTAGAGAATTAGATCTTTTACTTACATGTGAAATTTCATTTATCTATCTGAAATAGTACTCAAGTTATAGGCTTTTGAAAAATTCAAAGTAGGAAAAGTACCACTTCCGGTTGTCGGAAATCGCTCAAAAGTTGATACGGATCTACGATTTTGATATAATACTTATATATGAAATTTCATCAACCTAGCTGTAACGGTACTCAAGTTATCGTGTTTACACACGGACAGACACACACACAGACACACACACACACAGACATACGGACAAGATTGCAAAATTATGTTTTTCCGTATCAGTGAGGTGTAAAACGTCGAGAACTGTAAAAATCTCGATTTTTTTTTTTGCACGATTACAATACTTTCTCTATACTTCGTATATACGAGAAAGTAAAAAATTATCTTTAAAGTACACTAAAAGTCAGTGGCTACTTAGAAAGTGCATGATCTGAAATGTAAGACCGATATTTTAGTTATACGCAGGCTATTATTCCGAATCTTTTACTTCTATATTTAAAAGCTGGGTTTTATACCAACTCTGATTTAAAAAACTTTCATTATGCTGTAAAAGTTTAGCATTTATGATGACAATATATTTAATTCTGATTGTAGATAAAATATTTTTGTAAAAACGAATAGTGTTAAACTACTTTATTAGATTCTTAAGTAGTTATTGATTTGTTTTGATATTTATGATAAAATATGTAGACATATACATATTTATATTAAGGTATTGATTATTTCCCCTTTTCGCTAGTCTTAATAGATGTCCCAGGAATTATTATGCATTTTTTTTACAAGGACTACCAAACAGATTATGCCGTTTATTGTTTTTGGTTCTAGTGTGATTACATATATATATATATATATATATATATATATATATATATATATATATATATATATATATATATATATATATATATATATATATATATATATATATATATATATTTGTTTAGTATGAAACCTTTTTTTTTTTCATCGGCCTACATTGTGTTTTTTTTTATTTCTTCAGAGTGCTAATTTAAATTTATTTTACATCATATCGAAGAAATATCATACAGCTAATATATATATATATATATATATATATATATATATATATATATATATATATATATATATATATATATATATATATATATATATATATATATATATATATATATATATACTTATTAGAAAATATTACAAATTCGGCGCCTTTTTTTCTTATTTCCGCTCCCCCTACACCGAAAACCTGGATACGCCTCTGAATACCCAGCCCCCACCAGTTTCTGGCCAACCATAAAACTTCATCTCTTTGTAGGATTACAGTTACAGATCTCAGACAATCTGGGGTGGCATGTTATGTAATATATGACCTTCATGGCCTAGCAGGATGGAGACCAAAGAGGAATCAGTACCACTGCTCTCCCCTCACAATTTCTCACCTCCATGTCATGTTATGTAATGTATAGCACACATGGCTTATCAGGGGAAAGCATTAAGGCAGATAAGTTAGTACCACCCCTTTTTACATACAAGAATGTTAACTCTGGACAGCTACACACTAGTATACTAGCTACACACTAGGCATACTAATGTGCCTACTGTAAACTACTAGACTTTAGGCCCCATGTACACCTGCAATTGTATCAATTGTAGACTGGGCCCATTGGGGCCCAGTGATAGCTAGTATCAGTTAAAGTGTGTGCACACAGCATTAACTATTTTGGGGTTAGAAATTAATTATTCTTATTGTGGAGTTAGTCTAAACTAGGAGATAATTTGATAATACTTATTGCCCCATTGCCCGGCTCTTTATACCCCAAATGCTGATTTTGGGGGTATGACAATAAATGTTCAATTAAACCCATTTAAAGTATATTTAATAGACTGTTATTATTTTTATATTGTGTAAGATATGTTAGAATAATTTTGCCATATTTTCAATACTAAAAAAAATCTTAGATTAGTAGAAATCTTTAAAAATGTACAGGTGCTAAAAAGTGTGGCTCTTAACGCCCTCCTTTACCCTATACATTATAAAAATGTGTAGGTCTAACTTTGCCTATAGCCTATAACTTTTGAACCGTTTGAATTTGAGATAATCAAACCACATTCAATATCAAGTATTTTATCAAGGCACAGTATCAAACAACAATTTAGCAAGATTCAGAAATTCTTTATTTTTTATTTTACAATGTCTGAACATAACGATGTATATTGTATATAAAACAAACATAGCCGATGGCTGTGGCTCAGTTTTTCATTTTGGGGGCATTATTTGTACAACAAAAGTTTGCATCCAGTCATTAGGACTATTACTGATGATGCTAGATCGTCGGGCCGGAAAGCGGCTTTTCGGACATATATGCCTAATGTTAAAGCAGGTTTTCCGGCCTGTCTGGCCCAAAGGGTTAAGGACATCCTTATAAATCTAGATATTGGTGTAGAATAATATGTATTAATTTTTATTGTGTAGTAAAGATTTTTATATTTAGATATTGGCGTAGATGTACTTTTGTTTAAGAATCAAATTTTAACTTTTTTTTTTCTTTTACCACCTCTCTAGATGAGAATTATGAATGGGAGTAATGAAACATGAAAATTAAATTTCTATTAACCTGGTTAATGCTGTATTTTATCAGAAATATTAACCAATTTTAAAAAAAATAATTATGTTGTAAAGATGAATTTTTTTGTTAAACTGATAAACTACCCCAAGTCAATGAGTTTTTATCATAGTGTGTGTGTCTGTCTGTGTGTAAACACGATTACTTGAGTACCATTACAGCTAGGTTGATGAAATTTCATATATAAGTATTTTATCAAAATCGTAGATCTGTATCAACTTTTGAGCGATTTCCGATAACCGGAAGTGGTACTTTTTCTACTTTGAATTTTTCAAAAGCCTATAACTTGAGTACTATTTCATATAGATAAATGAAATTTCACATGTAAGTAAAAGATCTAATTCTCTACCTTCTGTTAAATTTTGAGTAATTTCCGTTGACCGGAAGTAGTAATTTACGCTACTTGCGATTTCTCAAAAAACGAATGTAAATTTTTAAAGTACTAATAATATTGCGCACTATTATGCACTTTTTTATTTAGCGTTCACTTGGTGTGCAATTCTTTTGTCTACGAGATTTTATTCTATTTTTAAAAGTTTAAGTATTTAAAATGGATTAAAAATCATGTCTATAACCCGAGTTCCCATCCCCTGTTGTTTTATATAAGAATATTCGAGAAAGTTTAGGGGAGATCACTCCCGGATTATTTGTTCTGGTTTCATACTTTCTTTTCAAAAATATGCATTTTTTTCAGTGACTTAAATTTTTGTTTTACCAGATACCAAACCATTTGATCTGGCTAGTATTTTTCTACTGGTTCTTTCACTCCACTTTAAATGGTGTAGCTGAGCTGCTGAGGTTTGGAGACAGAGTTTTCTACAAAGACTGGTGGTAGGCTCACTCTTAAATCACATTATTCATCTGTCATTGCTTTACATTATCTTGGATATAACCTTTTGTATTTTTTGAAGTTCTAGGTAGTAATATCTCTATATATTAAATTTAATTAAATGCATAATCTAAAATCTTGTTGTTAGCAAAATAATGTTTTTAGTTTTATATGGGATGATCCATAAATGATGTTATAGACTTTACCCCACCTTCCATGACAATATAAAGTTCCACCAATCAAAACAATAGCCATAATTCTAGTATAAATTATCATGTTTTCAGTCATTTTTATTTGAAAAATATTTTATATTTCTTGAGCTCTTTCCCGCTAGGTGTGTGATTTTTTTTTTTTATGATTGACCCCTACCCCTATATTAAAAAAATAAATCTTGGAATTCATATCTGCAACACATTTTCTTGTATATTTGTTTTTTGTTATTGAGAAGTTTTTAATTTCCAGGAACGCAGAGACTGTGTCTGAGTACTGGCAGCACTGGAACATCCCTGTTCACAGATTTGCTACTAGGTACAGCCAGCTAGTTTCTTCAGATTCTTCACTAGATTTGTTTAAAAACGTCTTTAGCTCAATAGTTAACTTAAGAATAAGGTTACGGTTACCTTTAATTAAATTATATGCTAGTTTTAAATCCGTCATGGTTTAATCCTCAGACATGTGTACAAGCCCTTGCTGAGCACTGGATGTTCTAGGTTCACTGCCTCATGCTTTGTTTTTTTACTGTCAGCATTTTTTCACGAGGTGAGGTGTTGCTTTTATTTTAAAACATTAAATATTGGTAGGGTAACTGTTTAAGCTTGTGGGGAGTTTTGCTTAGTACAATAATATTTTCTTGTAAATTAAATGCAATTGTGTGCAATTAATTTATTTAAATATTCTATTCCATATTAACCTGTTTAAAATTTTCCCTACTACAGTATCTAATCAGTGTACCCCTTAGGGTGTTTAAAACCTGGGCTTTATGGGAATGTTGATGCAGGTCTGATTCTTTTTATTTTATATTAATTGTGCTTGGATTATCCAATTACACTTCATGTTGATAAATCTTGTTTAAATCAGCAAATGAATTTAGATTATCACTTTTAAAGCAACTAAATTTTACATATGTTATATTTCATAGCAATAATCCCGGCTTAACTTTAGGCTGATTTTATAGGTTTCAAATTTTTATAATTTGAAATATATTAACATTTAGAAGTATTTACTAACCATTAAAGTTATCTGTGTCGCTGCTAGATATTTACTAAGCCATAAAATGATCCTACCCCAGGTTCCTACAGCATACTTGACATCTAAGTTTGTCCGAGGCAACATCACCATGTGGTTGTCTCTCATCCTTGGTCAGCCAGTGGCCATTTTGGCCTACTTTCATGACTACTATATTGTCCACTCCCTTCCTCTGCTCAACAACAGCACAGCAACGCCAGGTCTGTAATTGGATGACCTGTGACAGTGCAGCAGTATAAAACTTTTGTGATGGATGCCTAGAGACCAAATATTTAAAGTGGTGCATGGGTGTTTAGGGGTCACCATAAATGACATCACACAATCCAGATAATATTTTTATTCTAATCTTCTTCACTCAATGGTTCCCACGCCAAGTTTTTCCCTTGAAATATTCAAAATTCAATCACACCCCCCTCCAATCCAAACAAGATAAACTAAAGTTATCATGTTTTGTTTTTTTCTTTGCTTTTAAATACACAAAATTTCCTAAACCCTATAGTCCCATAATTAGTGCTGTAGCGAGAGCCACTTCACCCCACTTTTTCAGGTTGTGTGATGTCACTTTAGAGTCCTTATTGATCACGTTTATTGTATTTAGCTTACTAATTTCTTATGCGCAGTTTAATTTTTATGTTATTACTATTAATTTACTGTGTGAGAAAAAAATTGTAGAACTAATGGTTATAGCTGACTTGATTATGATTTTTTAAAGTAAATTTAACTTTTACTCAGGTAAGAATGCAGTTTTTTCCCTTACTGTGTGTAATATCAGTCTCACTCAATATCGAACTGCAGGGATTAAATTAAAATTAACTCAAGAATAAATTTTTTTATAAAACTGAGTCGGTGGGGGGGGGGGGGGGGGGTGGGGGGGGGAGGGATCACCACATTTATTTAACCACAGTATTTTGTGGAATTTGTTGCATTAATGTTGGAAAAATGTTTTCAAAACCAAATTAAACTACTTTTTTTTTTACTATTTTATCCTCCTAAATTCTATAAATCTTTTATTTATAAAGCCAATACAAGTAAATCTAACACTGTTAAATTATTGGTGGGTTAACCATTTATTTATTTATTAAATTAGTATTCATTTTTAAATTTAATTTTAAATACATTGTTGCCTAAAATTCATACAATTTTAATAACAGCTCAACATTTCTTTAGTTGTCCAAGTAAATTTCAATTCACACAAACAGTATTTTATTAAGGGAAAATTATTTCTGTTATGTTTATTTTATGATCAGTATAAATATTTTTCGCTGTATATAATTTTCCCAACTGTTATCTGGACATGTCTTTTAATCACTTAGTGACTTGTTTCTTGAGCATAATTATTAAAACAAGCTGTTCTGTTGACTTATTTCAGTAGACAAGGGGTTAGATACAAATGTTATGGATTCTATTTTCTTACATTGTAATTACTATCTACATTATATTTTTATTATTTAGAATTTGTTAATGAAATAGTTATGCATCTGTAATATATTTGACATGTACTTGTTTGGTATTTATGAAAAAAGGTAATGCAAAATTGATTTCAAATTATATATGTTGTCTGTAATTATATGATTTAAATGTTGATTTATATACTTGACAAGTATTTCTATACATAATTACAGCTATGTTCATGATAAAAAAATCTTACTATTATGTGTGGCATTATGAGCTTTAGGATTGTTTAATTTTACCTTTTATGTAACAAATAACATGACCAGAAATTTACAAGAAAATAATAGCCTAATGCTGTGATGAACCTAACTATACTGATAAATTTACAGCATTGAAAAAATGTCCTAACTATTTAATACAATTTTAAATGCTCATATTACTGGTAATATCTATCAGAACTATTATCATCTCATCCAAACAACTGGAGTTTTAAATTATAGGGAAGTGACTTTTTAAAAAATATTTAACTAGAAAAAGGTGATCAATAAATTTTTTTGTTACTTTGGTAGTTGCTATATTTTTATTAAGGTGGCTAAGAACATTTGTCAGCTACCTCTATGCCCCAATAATTTAGTTATGTTGTTTACCTAAGCTTAGAAAGAACTGGAACTCCAACATCAACAAAAGTTATTAATTTTGCACCATAACCACATATTTTGACATGTTTGTTATGGACCTTCCATCAGTTTCTCACAAAATGACTTCAGAAATGTTTATGCAATGTGATTCATAAGGCCATATGAATGTTACTACTACCTGAGTTATAAAGCTTTAATTTTAGGGATGTATTTAAATTATGCATTTATTTATTCACCTTTTCAAGTTGCTTTATAAAATGTATTTAACCTAATTACTACATAGTGATATATAAATATAAGTATTACAAGAAACTCCTCAAGCAGTTTGTAACTGTCTAGTAAAGTTGATTATTAAATTCTTAATTATTTTAAAACTATTTGCTTCTGTAATGACTTATTTTTCTTCCTAAGCTTAACTCTGCTAGTTCTATACTCAGCATTGCTCACCCCTTACTTATAAAATGTGCATTTATTTGATTTCCTTACCCTTTTCTAAAACACAAACTATAGCTTGTATTTAAACAAATGACCAGTACTTGACATAATTATGGTAATTACTTTATATGTAAGAATCATTAAATAAAAAATGTACAATTAATGGTCACTTTTTGTTTTTGCATAGTCTTTAATTGGGTTCTAGTTCTCAGCCATATCAACTATTCATGCTAGTTGTATGACTCAAGTATCTGAGGTGAATAAATTTTAATGGTAAACTTTTACTGTGGTCAGTATCCTGACTAAGGATAGTCTTGAGTGATATTTAAAGTCACAGACAATTTTAAGTTTTTGTACATTCCTCTAGAGTCTAGTGTATGAAAGGGGAAAAATTCTCTAGCGAAGAAGATAAAAAGTAACATGATTTGGCAATGAGCAAAACAGAACAAGATATGCAGCACAATATTTAATAACATGATTGAGAGTACAAAAATAAATCAAGTTGATATGAATAACAAGAAAAAAAATTGCTGATTTACAGTTGAACAAAGTAGGGACACATTGTTCAAACCTCTATTATTTAGTTGAAAATAACAAATGGCAGAAAAAATAATTTTCAACAAATTACTGTGCTAAATATGTTGTTTAATAAAAATAGTTCAGAAGTTCTTCAGAGTAGCTTATGTTAGTAACAAAAATGTATCAGATCAAAATATTTTACTAAAACTAAAAAATGTAAATGGTCCCTGAAAAATATATTCAGTTTTGTTGATTCCTAACCTGTACACAACCACACAAAACATTGTAGGGTAGAAAATTATTGTTCTAATGTTGGACTTCCTACGCCAACCAAAAATTTTCTTATGAAATTCTACAGAATTTTACAGCAACAACAAAAGTAATACTTGAAATTTATCTATTGATTTTTTAAAATTCTGAACGAAACTAGAAAGCTGTTGCGGACCGGACTACGTTGTTGCCGTCCGGTTGCTTAGTCGCCGGCCGAATACGTTGGGGGTCATCCATTTATGACGTCCACAATTTTTTTCCGATTTCGGACCCCCCCCCCCCTCGTCCACAAAAATCCACTATTTTTCCTTATACAAGTCCATATGCGTCCACAAAAGTCAGTTTTTTTCGGACCCCCCCCCCCCCCCGCGTGTGGACGTCATAAATGGATGACCCCTTGCTGACACTGGCTCGGGCACTAGCCAATAAGGCCGTCGTTGTCTAGGGGTATTTAATTATTCTACCCGAGTCAGCTACAGTGAAGTAATCAACGGAACAGGAGAACTTCTTATTTTGTACTCTTTATTAATTTGCTGAATGTCTGTTCTGCTGAGCGAGGCTTCCCCTATTCCGCTAACGTCGAGAGCGCTTGTGCGAGAGAGAGCGAGACTAACTAACCTGCCTGTATTTATACCCCTGTCTTAACCCCCTAGCTGTTCCCATGGGACAATGAGCTCAGAACATGTGACCTAACAAATTATCCCCCCTGACGCTAACAACCCTGGCTACTGGTCAGTGGCGGAACTAGAAAAAATGGGCCACCCCGCAAAAAAAATTTTTGGGCCCCCCATATATGTATATATATATATATATATATATATATATATATATATATATATATATATATATATATATATATATATATATATATATATATATATATATATATATATATATATATATATATATATATATATATATATATATATATATATATATATATATATATATATAAAACAAGGTTCGCTCTCAATTTAAAAAAAATTCCATCTGGTACACGAATAAATCAGAGGTTTTCCAACACACGAGCTGGCCCCTTTCTAAATCTAGTCCAACACACCAAACTGAGGCTTTCATCAAAACGTGACTAACCGTGTGCCCTGTTTTCCAGAAGTTGAATTAAATGTTAACAATGTCGGCAGTTCATTTCTTGGATCTTAGGGCGCGGGTTTGTCCACACTACCAACTAGACACGCCAAGGCATGCTGTAAATCCCTCTGCGACGGCCCAGGTGTCAGGGGAGTCACGGGGCTCTTGGAGCTACCGGTTACATTACTGCACGGGTGATGGGTGTGACACATTGTTTCTTCCGGCAGAGCTCCCCCCTCCCCTCCCCCGAAAACAGTCTACCCTGGAAGAAACATTGGTGCGACACCTAATTAGATTTAGTCATCGAGTGTTGTAGCGAGACTTATTCCTCGTGTTGTGGGAACTTTTAAACGACTGTCTGTGGGGGCCAACTTGCTCATATGTGATGCGCTCAGGATGACACTGACGCCGGTTGTATTCAAGTAGTAACCTCATCCGCTTATGCAGGATCACGGGGCGCTAAATCACATATTTCCGTTAGGAGTCCCCACTCAAATATGTACAAATGTTAGGCCTATGACAGAAACCTTTGCGGGGCTGTACTCAACAGCTTCCCAAGTTTTCATGGCGATTGGGTGAATGATGCAGTAATGCATAATAATATTAGAGAGAAAAATGTTTTTCACATGTACAACTGTATGTGGCCAGGTCACACGTTGGATAACCTTCTGATTTAGGGGAGGGGGGGATTAACAAAAAGCCAGACCCTCACACACCCCCACCTCAATGACTATTAATAATGTTCAATTAATTCTAAACGTTCTAATTAATTTCTAAATAATTATATAAAAAATAATCTTACCTGCCCTGTTTTGTGAATTAGATGTGCCTAATACTATGAAAGTAAATTAATATGTGTTGACTAGATTTAGTGCTGTCTAGTGTCTGACAAAATGTGCTGAAGTGGTGAATCGTACGGTTAGGAAGTAGTTCATAAACGATACATTTATCTCCTCGATACTTGTGAGGTTGAGAAAGAGGGATGGGATAGGGGTCGGCTCGGGAAAAAACTTGAAAGGGA